GAGAGAGAGAGAGAGAGAGAGAGAGAGAGAGAGAGAGAGAGAGAGAGAGAGAGAGAGAGAGAGAGAAGAGAGAGAAGAGAGAGAGAGAGAGAGAGAGAGAGAGAGAGAGAGAGAGAGAGAGAGAGAGAGAGAGAGAGAGAGAGAGAGAGAGAGAGGAGAGAGAGAGAGAGAGAGAGAGAGAGAGAGAGAGAGAGAGAAATCACTTTATACAATGGCGGTCTTTTCGATAGCAGGGCGCGGCCTCCCTCTCCCCGCCCTCGCTCTGTTTACACCTGCGAACGAGATCCATAAATACTGACGGATCGAGCGTGGCGTCGTGGGCTAACACTGCTTCCTGTGAGATAAATACTGACTCATTCTGACACCGTCATGTCGCCGCATCAGATTTATTTAGCGGCGCTGTTCCTCCATGTTAACTTCTCCCTCTCCCGCGGTCGTCCTGTTCACAGACGATTCCGCAGCCATTTCTTGTCGTTTTCTATTCTCTGCTCCCTACTTCCGACCTTCCCTTCGCCTCACTCCCATTCTCCATCTTTCAGCGTCTTTTTATGCGCCCCCTTCTCCAATGCGGCCATTTCCCCTTCCCTTGCCTTTTCCCCTCTTAAATCTACTGCCCTCCTCGTCCCCCGGCCCTCTCCCCTCTAAGGATAGCGAGGCACTTCTCCCTTCCCCTTCCTCCCTCCTCGCTCCTCTCTTCTCTGTTTCACCCTTCCATTCCACCCTCCCTTCCTCCCCTTCTTTCCTTTCAGACCTCTCTCCACTTTCGCGACCCCTTCCCTCCTTCTTCTTTCACTACTTCTTCCCTGTCCGTACATAACCTTTCTCCCTCCCACCCTCTTTATCCATTTATTTCCTTTTCTCCCTTCCATTCCTCTGTTCCTCTCTGTCCCCACTCTCCACCTCTTCTCCCCTTTCTCCTTTCTCTCCTCCCTCCCTCCCTTTCCCCTCCATCCACCTTCCTCCCTCCCCCTCCCCCCCTCCTCCCTCCTTCCGTCACCCTACCCTCCCCCTTCCGCCTCTCCCCCTCCCCTCCCTCCCTCCCCCCCCCCTCCCTCCCCCCATCCTCTTCCCTCCCTTTCCCCGTCAACCCACCTATCCCCCTTCCGCCCCCCCTCACCTCCCTCCCTCCCGGCCTCACCTCGAACCCCTGAAAAAGTGTTCATATTTTGAGCCCCCAGCGAGGAGGGACGTCACCCCTTGCGCTCCCGTGCCAGCGCTCTGCCAACGCCGGGAAACCCTTCTGTCCGTGAATAGTAATAACCTGAGGAATGTTTATACGTCCGTTCTCGCCTTTCAACATAATTCTTTAGGGATGTATATTTTTTTTTCACTTTTTTTTTTCCTAAAGTGGATAAAGTAGGAAGCTTTTGTTTGCCGTCGCCGTAACGTAGAAATGATTCCGTGTTTGTGCTTCGGTTTAGGTGTTCGTGGATGATGCTTCGATGAGATGTTGGACGGAAGGGTAGACCGGAGTTGGTTTAATGGAAATAGTGGAGTGATTCACTGCATCTGAATCTCGGCCTTGGGTATCGGAGGGGGAAGAATGGGAGGAGATACATACACTCACGTACGTGCACATGCATCCACACGCATCCACACGAACACACACACACACACACGAACAGATACACACACACACACACACACACACGAACACATACACACACACACACGAAACACACACACACACACACACACACAACACACATACACACAACACACAAATTTATTTATTTAACTCTATACAGTATAAGTATCAATATGTTAGTATGTATATATTTATGTATGTATGATGATTTGTGCATGTGTGTATGCAGTTATAGGTATATATGCATGAGCATATAAAACACACACATACACACACACACACACACACACACACACACACACACACACAACACACAGACAAATATATATATATATATATATATAATATATATTATATATATATATATATATATATATTTATTTATATATACGTATCTACATACATATATTTATTTATTTATTTATACGAAATACACACAAATAGATAACAGAGTAAACGAAGGGGACAGAGAAAACAAGTTTAACGGAGAAAGTATTGGACTGTGAACTGCACATTTCTATCCTTCAGCGTGGAAAAAAATGGAGCTTCCTCCCCCACTATATTTAATCGCCTAGGCATTAGTCTCTGCAAATGCGTTTAGGACTTTCGACCTTCCTGGCTTCCTGGCCAGTTGTCGGCAATAAAATGGCGCTCTTAGTTCCGCCAGGTCGTCCATCACGGCTTTAAATTGAAGGAAAAAGATTAATTCTGCCATTGACGCGGGAATAGCAGTGGCATAATGCGATTCGTGTGTTAATCAAATTGATTTTCCGCCACAAATAAGAAGATAGTTGGATGGATTGGGGTAGATGGGGAGAGGGGGAATGAAAAGGAGAAAGAGATAGAGGAGAGAAAAGAGAAGAGAGAGAGAAGAGAGAGAGAGAGAGAGAGAGAGAGAGAGAGAGAGAGAGA